TAACCCTCAAGTTACGACAATCTATTTGCTAATGGACAGTTTCTTGATTTCATTTGCTGGTGGTGTTGGCCATGAACTCTACCTATGTTAGTTTTGCAAAGTATAGTTGGTTTTAAATCCGAATAGATAAAGGTTTAGTAGGTCGACGGCCAAAGTAAAATAGGCAACAACAACAACAACCACCCAGTATAATCCCACTAGTGGGGTCTAGGGAGGGTAGTGTGTACGCAGACCTTACCCCTACCCTGGGTAGAGAGGCTGTTTCCGATAGACCCTCGGCTTCCCTCCTTCCAAGAACTCCCTACCTTGCTCTTGGGGTGACTCGAACTCATAATCTCTTGGTTGGAAGTGGAGGGTGCTTACCACTAGAGCAACCCACTCTTGGCCAAAGTAAAATAGGGCGACAGAATATTCAATTTGTTGGGACCTAGCCACCTAGGCAAGTCCCTGAATTGAGCAGAATGGATATAGAATGAATGGATATAAGATGATGGATATAGTCGACCTCAAATGATTTAGAATTAAAGCATTGTTGATTGATATATAGCTAATAGACAGTTATGTTGCTGAATTAATAGGTTGATGTGGGAACTACTGTAGAGGGCGTTCGGATTGGCTTTTAAAAGGTAGCTTATAAGCTAAAAGTCATAAGTTGGTAATACCCAATTTTTGGTTTTGACTTATATTTGTACTTTTCATGCCTAAAAGTAAGTGCTTTTAAGCACTTTTTATCATTGGCAAACACCACAAAAACTAGAAAAGTGCTTAAAAGCCAATAAGCACTTAAAATAAGCCAATTTAAACACCCTCGTAGTCTAATGACATGACTACTAATGTTACTGCTACAAAAATACAAGGGTATAGGACTGTCGCACCACTGGATCCTAGCATTCTAGGCATGCATGTGGGGCGTGGGACAAGGAAAAATAAACACAGATCTCAATCAGCCATCATGTTTTCAAAGACAAAAAGGCGACAAAGTTAGACAAAACCCGTGAAAGATTTTCAAGGGATGATTTTAGTCAATGTTGGTGAGGTGGAAGACCTTGAGGTCTAGGATTTTAAAGGCCGAAACCGTCTGGTAGTGAGGTGCAGATCCTGGGGCAAGGATCCTAAATTCTTTCTGTGCCTTATGAAGAGGTTAGAGACAAATCGTAAATTTTTTGAGAGCATGCTCTTTGCCCTTGTGTATCTGTTGTTGTGATGGTGTTCATGAACAACAAGGCTTTAATCATCCCGTACCTAAGGAAATTGCTTAATTAAACATCATTAACTAGTTGCTTGATAGTAGTTGCCTAATTACTCCTACTCAGTGAATGGTTGCCAACTTGCCCCAGCCACTCTAGGCCTTTTTACCAATTTTCTGAGGTAAAGTAGATTCTTGAGAGAAAACATGACCCTTTTTTCTTTGTTTATATAATTTATGTAACCAGGCCATTTTGGCCCGATCCGCCGCTGGGCCAGCTACAATTTCCAGGGCGGATCTCTTAGATAAACTTTTAATGCACCTTTAATTAGTTTATCTACATTTTCTCTCATGCAAAAGGGTGCAAACGCACTCTTGGAGTCCTAAGAACCTTTAACCTTATTCCCTAAGCTAAGATTTGTTGCCTTTACTCTTTAAGCTCTATTTATTAATGAACAAATCAATTATACGAAGTAATATCATTAACTCAATCGAAGTAATAACCTTTAACTCTCAACCTTTTTTGAAAGATTTAGTTGTATAAATGACACTCCAAATGGATATTCCAGAATTGAAGAGTGTTTGGTGAGAAACTGGAGGAGTGTTATCCTCTTGAGAGATTGAGATTTGAGATTCTCAATCCAATTATTACACTTTTTTGCATAGTTGGCTGTTCCTATCTTCCTACATGAATGAGGTGTGCAATCAATTAGAACCCTGTTAGGTTAATATTTCTTTTGGTTTGTGCACCCCTTTTTTAATTTGCCCAGTTTTTCGCTACTGTTGGTATATTAGCATTGTTTTTCTTGCTCTGTTTTTCCTCTTTTTCCGATGTTATTCACTGATTCGTTAATTTTCTTTCCATAAGAATCTTTATGAAAGAAAAGAGGGCTGGATTAGAGCTGAAGTAATATAGTCGATTAATGTATCATGCCCAATTGGTGTGAGAATGAGGTGTGGCTGATTGATTGGAGTCTCCACCTTGTGCTTTATTGACTTGTTAGTATTCATTGTTGTCTATGTTTGAGGTTTTTATTTGGCATACAAGGATATTGATCTTTGCATCATTTAACACTTTGGTTTCAGGGCTTGCATTTGGAGCCAATGACCAAAAGTGTGCAGATGTCAGACTATTTACTTGGGCTGGAATGTGTATGCAAATAAAGAATTGGTTTCCTAAGATGCTGTGCACCAAAATTCTGTCGCAAGTGTCAGTGTTGAGCTAAGTTAGGTGCTGTAAAGGAATGTGCTATATGGCAGAGCTTCATTTGTTTGATTGATGTGAGGGGCTGCACTTTCTTCGTATAGAGGTAATACAATGCTCACTATTTCTACCCCCTTCCTTCCCCTTTCCTTAATTCTCTTGTCCCATTTAAATGTAAAATCACGAGAATAAACGGCTTCAAACTGTGTTGTGATTTTTAGGAACGAGGTATAATAATATAAATAAACTTTACTATGATAGAGATTGAGCACTTGTCTTTGTTTCTGTCCCTTTTGGTCTTGTTTTTGAGGTTGAGATCCTTCTCGATTATTCTATGTGGGTTTTAAATGATGGCGTTGATCCCATGGCTTGAGTTCAACCAAAAATATTATATTTTTAATTCTGGACAGGGAAGCCTCATAAGATTCTTCTTTGTTGTGTTGCTGTCATAAAATAGCGTTCTTCGTTCCGTCGTCGATCTTCCAATAAATTTTAGATTTGATTGTATTATAGTGTATACCCGTTATGTACACAAAATTGGCAGTTATTCTATTTTCATCATAGAATGATTATTCAGTCTTTTTTCTTCGTTGTAATTTTTATCATGATTCAATCAAAATTTCTCGAATTCTTCTAATTTGTAACTTCACCGAAATCGGAATAGTTCCTATACTACTACATTAGTATGAAATCGAATCGTCTTGAAATATTTCTTATTTCTTATCGATTCCTGTCAAAAAGGAACAATTGGAATAGAGGATTCATATCTNGAAATATATGGTAGGGTCATGAACCAAGTTTTGTATTTTTTTTTTTTTAAGTGTAGAAGGGCTAAAGGGGTGAAGCAATTATCCACAGAGTGTTGAAACTAAAAACAGCAGATGATCAAGAAACAATCATCGGGATGGCACCTATGGTATGAGTGCTTGTCACTTTGGGCTTCATTCCACAGTTGGCTGCTTGTTTTTCCTCCGGCATCAATATATATATATNAAATAAGATATGCACGTAGGTATTCTCAACTCAAGCATTCACAATGATAGCACATTTAAAAAGTTGAGTTTTTTATAATTGTAAAGAACGAGTGTGTCAGTCTCATCTCATCTTCAAGGCTCCTATATTTTACCTTCTACTAAAATTGTCTATGAGAAAAGTGAGTTAATGGCTCACCTGCATTTGATGTAAGACATATGTTTTTTATATATCATATTTATTACTTAATCATAGTTAAATGCATGAAGTGAAATAATTTATTATCACTATTGCCATATACGCAAAACAAAAATGCCTTTAACAGTCGTACATCTTTTCAATATATAGAAACAGCAAAACTTTTATCTTGAGAAAGGAAAATAAAATAAGACAAACTTACGGAAAAGCATCAAAGTAAATTGAGATGGAACTAAATAATAACTATCCTTAGCTCAGAGACAAGTGACAAAAAGGTTATGGGGGATCACTTGATGTACCCGAGTTCAATCACTTAACAAGGACCTTTCTCACAGCATATTATTATGTTTGTTTTCTATTTTAAATTTTAGATTTCGGTACTTACATTGGAGCCTCAACTAATTTAAGGTCCTTTATAGGGGAAAGCGTGTTCTCTACTATTATTTTTTCCATTTCTAATGCTCAAACCCGAAATCTCTAATGCCTAAGTGTAGAAGGATCATATCTATTTGTTGTGAATACAATCTTTGACGAAGCTGACAAAGCGGATGAGTTGGAAGTTGATGTGGCAATTGAGAATGAATTGGGTAATGAGGGGATGAAGGGCAATCTGGGTAGAGGCAAACGCAAGAAACAATCACCTGCAAAGCTAATGGATTATGTAGTGAGTTCTAAATAAAAGTGTGTGGGCCAGGAGTTAGTTATATATAGCAGACATAGGCATTGTAGTGAGGTAGGTAAAAAGTTGTTATGAAAATATTCCCTTCTCATCCCATTCCCTCTGTATCTCCAATCCCATCCCCTTCTTCTGCTTCTCACCTCCAGCTTCTTCTTATTGTCTTTTTTTAGTTGTAATTTCCAGTTGATATTTTCAATATAATCAAAGTTGCTGCTGTTACTTGCTAGTTTAGTAGCCCTTGCTACATTGGTGCTTTCATTCCTTTTATGTGCGATAACAATCTCAAAGCTGTGATGGGTTCTACGCTGGAACTGGTTGAGATTCGTTCCATCATGGATTCTCATCAGTCCGTGCTTACAGATCTGGCTGCTCAACTCGCAGCATTGAACGCTCGTTTTTCCCCTCTCGATGATTCTCGTCCCCACGCTGCCGGCGATACTATGCCGTTCACTGGCTCGTCGTCCTCTACGGCTCAACGTCATAAGCCTGCACGTATAGATTTTGTTCGATTCTTTGGTGAGGATCCGGATGATTGGCTTTTCCAGGCAGAACGTTATTTTGATTTCTATGGTATTATGGAGGAGGAACGTCTGTCTATTGCTTCCTTTTACTTGGACGGTGAGGCTCGAGCCTGGTAACGCTGGTTGTTTCGCAATAAGCAACTAAGTGATTGGCCTTCATTTACTGAGAAACTATTGGTGTGCTTTCGACAACGGGAGCTGGTTACACCGGAAGGTCGCCTCTCTAAGCTGATGCAGACCTCGACAGTGGAGGACTATCGTCGTCGTTTTGAAGCGGTGGCCACTGAATCTATGGCCTTACCAGAGCAGTTCACGGTACGTTGTTTTACTTCTAGGCTTCGTGAGGATATTCAATCTTCCGTTTTGGCCAAGAAGCCTAAAACTTTGGATAAAGCTATTCGGGTGGCCCAATTACAGGAGAGGCGTATTAATTTTGAAAAAGGCCAATTCAAACAGCCTTTAACCGGAGCCCAATCCAACCAGCCTTGGCCCGTACACAGCCCTTGTTGCCTACCCCATCTGCTCCAACGTACTCTACAATCCCTAACCCACGCCCAACATCTATGGCTCTTCCAGTACCCAAATCACAAACGTTGCATTCTCGTTAAACGTCTCACTCCTGCCGAACTTCAGGGTCGTCGGGAAAAAAGACTCTGTTATTATTGTGATGAGAGGTACTCTGCTTCTCATAAGTGTAAAAATCTTCCCCAGCTCCTTTTGTTAACTGAAGAGCACGACACTACCACTCAGTTACCGGAGTTGCAACTTTCTGACGAAGCTTTAGCAGAAGAACTTCAATGCCTTGAGGTGCAAGAGCACTCTTCTATTTCCTTCCATGCTCTAGCTGGTGGTCATGCTCCGAATACTCTTAGGTTTGCCGGCCATGTGAATGGTTCTCCGGTTCAGGTCCTCGTCGATGGCGGTAGTACAGAAAATTTCATTCAAACTAGGATCGCGACTTTCCTACAATTGACCATTGAATCGATTCCGAGTTTTTATGTCATGGTGGGTAGTGGACAACGCTTACGCTGTGATGCGATTGTTCGGCAAATCCCCCTCACTATCCAAGGCTGTGAGCTCGTTTTGGATTTCTATGTGTTAGCCCTACATGGTGCTGATTTTGTTCTGGGGGTGTCATGGTGGGCCACTTTGGGCCCGGTTCTCACTGATTATGCCATGCATGTCCTTGAGTTCTCTCACAATGGCAACACCATGAGATGGCAAGGTGAACCACCAACTATGCTCCAACCAGTGCAATTGCACAGTTTGCGTCGTTTAGCTTCAACAGATGCCATCTCTTCATTTTTTCGGTTGGAACTAGTTCAAGAAGAACAAGTGGTTTCTGAGTTTGTGCCTACGGGGTCTCCACCTATCGAGCTTCAGGACTTACTCACTTCCTTTGTTGATGTTTTTCATAAACCCCAAGGCCTTCCCCCAGTGCGTCCTCAAGATCATGCGATCCATTTGTAGCCTGGTTCCGGTCCCGTGAATGTAAAACCGTATCGCTATCCATACTTTCAGAAACAAGTTATGGAACAACTGGTTTAAAAAATGCTCAAAGAAGGATGGTACCTGGCGTTTTTGTGTGGATTATCGTGCACTCAATGCTATCACTGTGCGCGGCCGTTTCCCAATTCCTACAATCGACGAACTATTTGATGAACTACATGGAGCTCAATTCTTCTCTAAACTGGATTTGTTATCAGGGTATCATCAAATTCGGGTACGAGTCGAGGACATTGAAAAGACAGCATTTAGAACCCATGACGGTCACTTTGAATTTTTGGTTATGCCATTCGGGTTGTCTAATGCACCATCCACTTTTCAAGCTACTATGAATTCTGTTTTTCGTCCCTACTTGCGCCGTTTTGTGTTGGTCTTCTTTGACGATATTCTCGTCTACAGTCCAACTTGGGCGGGTCATCTGGAACATCTTAGTTTAGTGTTGAAACTGTTACGCCAACACAGTTTAGTGGCGAAGCGGAGCAAGTGTTCGTTTGGGCAGACAACTGTTGATTACCTTGGACGTGTACTATCTGTTCAAGGATTGGCTGTGGATCCTAGCAAAATTGCCATTATACAGCAATGGCCAGCCCCACGAAATATCAAGGAGGTCCGGAGTTTTTTGGGACTCACTGGGTATTATAGGCGTTTTATCCATCATTACGCTTCTATTGCTGCTCCTTTAACTGACTTACTGTGTCATGGTGCTTTTCTGTGGACTGAACGCGCACAAAAGGCCTTTGAAACCTTGAAAGCATGCTTGAGCTCTACCCCTGTCCTTGCTTTGTCCGATTTTAGTCATGAGTTTCAAGTGGAAACAGATGCATCAGGAGTTGGGATTGGTGTTGTACTGTCTCAGAAGGGGCATCCTGTGGCATTCTTCAGTCAAAAATTAAGCCCCCGAATGCAAGGAGCTTCCACCTATCACCGTGAAATGTTTGCCATTACACAAGCTGTTAGTAAATGGCGTCAATACTTGCTTGGCAGAAGATTCACAATACTTACAGACCAACAAGCTCTCCGTAACCTTACCACGCAAATCATCCAAACCCCGGAACAACAGAAGTGGTTGTGTAAGTTAGTCGGATATGATTTTCGCATCCTATATCGCCCTGGGAAACAGAATTTAGCAGCTGATGCTCTCTCACGAGCCCCCGATGCTACTTATTTGGCCATTACTGTGCAAATACCTGCTCTTGTTGAAGAATTGAGGGAACTCAACAAGAACCACCCGGAGTTGCTTGACATTCAGACATCTATTATGCAACAACTAGACTCTGTCATTGACTTCTCCTTTAGAGAAGGTCTTTTATTTTATAAAGGACGCTTGGTAATTCCTACTGATTCCCCTCTTAGACAACAACTTTTACAGGAATTCCATGCTACTTCCATTGGGGGACATGCTGGTATAGCTCGTACGCTGCACCGCATGGCCTCAAATTTTTATTGGAAAAATATGAGGAGGGATGTGCATTCGTTTGTCTCAACTTGTTAAATATGTCAACAAATGAAGGATATCCACCATCATCCAGCGGGATTGTTGCACCCCTTGCCTACGCCCGATTTGGTGTTTGAATACATAGCAATGGATTTCATCACCTGTCTTCCAGCTTCAAGGGGCAAAGAAACTATTATGACAGTAGTGGATCGATTGACTAAATTCGGCCACTTTATTGCATTACCCTCAACATTCTCTACTCGGATTGTGGCTGAGGCTTTCGTTGTCGGAGTCATCAAGTTACATGGGCCTCCGAGATCAATAGTAACTGACCGAGACCCAAGATTTATCCATTCCCTTTGGCAGGAACTAAACAGGATGCGGGGCACCACGTTAGCGATGAGCACCGCGTACCATCCCCAAACCGATGGCCAATCTGAAGCGCTCAACAAATGTGTAGAGCAATATCTTCGTTGTTTTGTGGCTGATTCTCCCTCTGATTGGGTGGCTATGTTACCATGGGCAGAATATTGGTACAACACAGCTCTACAAACTTCAGCAGGAATGACCCCTTTCCAGGCTCTTTATGATCGAGAGCCACCTACTATTGCTCGATATATATTGGGCAGCAGCAGTAGTGAACTCGTGGAGAAGTTCCTTGTGCAGCTTGATACAGTTTTGGAACTCCTAAAGCATAATTTAGCTAAGGCTCAACGACGGATGAAAGCCTTGGCTGATAAACATCGAACAGAACTACACTATGAAGTCGGCGAGTGGGTCTATGTGAAGCTTAAACCATATCGTCAACATTCTGTGCGACTACAAAAGCAACATAAGCTGGGTAGAAAATATTTTGGGCCATTTCGCATCTTGAAAAGGGTAGGAGATGTTGCCTATAAGTTGGAGCTGCCAGCGGCGGCTAGGATCCATCCTGTCTTTCATATATCCATGCTCAAGAAGTGTTCGGGCCAGCCTGACAATTAGATTACACCTCTTCAACTGACTGATTTTGCTGCTGCTATGCCTCCAAGCGAGCTGAACCTTGAGGACAAGGTTCTTGTTGGAGATGGGGGTAATGTTGTGAATACAATCTTTGACGAAGCTGACAAAGCGGATGAGTTGGAAGCTGATGTGGCAATTGAGAATGAATTGGGTAATGAGGGGATGAAGGGCAATCTGGGTAGAGGCAAACTCAAGAAACAACCACCTGCAAAGCTAATGGATTATGTAGTGAGTGCTAAATAAAAGTGTGTGGGCCAGGAGTTAGTTATATATAGCAGACGTAGGCATTGTAGTGAGGTAGGTAAAAAGTTATGAAAATATTCCCTTCTCATCCCATTCCTCTATATCTCCAATCCCATCCCCTTCTTCTGCTTCTCACCTCCAGCTTCTTATTGTCTTTTTTTAGTTGTAATTTCCGGTTGATATTTTTAATATAATCAAAGTTGCTGCTGTTACTTGCTAGTTTAGTAGCCCTTGCTATATTATTTCACCATAACCCTTTGTGGTTATTATGTTTATTCCTCGAGTACTTGTTGATTTTCGATTATAAAATCAAACTAAGTTGAGATTGAATTAGGATGCGTTGGTATCGACTGTTTGAATTGGTTTTAGGTGAAATGAGTGACGGATATAAAACTAGGGTAGCGGGTGCATTCGTAATTCGGGTCAATTGATTTTTTGGCCTTTTACAAAGTTGATTTTAGTTTTATGACCTTACCTCTTTTTTTACATACTGGAGATTTACTTTTACACATAAGAGATCTTTCATTTAATAATAAGAGATCTAAAAAAGATATTTTTTTAAATTCAACATTGTAAAAGGTTAAGAAGGCCTAAAACCTCTCGTAATTCTAGGTTTAACTTGTATGTATGTGCTACTTAATGTAAAAATAAACCCAAGTGTAATAACAGTTTGTAATGCTTTATTAATTATTCACTTTAACAGTTTGATCACTTGTTGTAGTAGCCATTATTGTACGTGGCACAGTTACAGAATCACACTAGTTCCAAGTTATTCCACGTTGCTTAATTTTCGACACAACCACTCAGTCAAATTTAATATCTGACCAACAAATTAAGAACCACCATCTACTCTTGTAACTTCTTTCAGACGGATATATTATTTAAATGAAGGCATACATCACTATTCCACTAGGACAAACGATTCTTTACACTGTCGATTCATATAAATGAAAAAACTCAATTCTCAATAGCTTGAGAATCCTTCTCAATAGGAGGAGCACGTGTCATTGAAAATGTTGTTATGAACGAAATAATCAGGTGTCATACGAAAGTTAGTATAATATATATTCAATGACAATAAATCATACAATAAAAGAGAAATATATTAAAAGAGACATAAATATTTAACGTGGTTCAGCCAATTGACCTACGTTCACAGACGGAGATGTACAATCCACTATAAAAAAGAGAGTATAAAATATCGAGAGAACAACCTCACAAAGAGACAGACACAAGTGGCAGACCAATACTTGTCCCGAAATTCTCCCCTTAAACAAGACTCTCAAACCCTTTATAGCTACATTGTGAGTGCTACTAAATGAGAAGAAATGATACTCAATTTATAGAAGTCCAAAACTTTTTCCTCCAAGAAAAAGGACTAGCCAAACATGGAAGAATTATATTTTTCTTTTCGTAAAATATAAAATCAATTTTGGTAAATATGTTGCCCTCCGTCAAGAAATAGAAAAACCAAATATGGTAAGAAAATCAGGACAACACATAACAATTCTCCCCTTTGGCCTGAATTTTCTAATAAAATAAATGCGATCCACCTTCTTCACATAACTTTCAACAAGTCGTATCTTCAAATCTCCACCACAAAGTTTGTCTCAACGTGAGTAGCACTCCATTCATTTTTCTCAGATGAAAATCATGATTACCATCAAATAGGTTGCGGCAAGAACTAAACCCGTCAAGATGAACTTGTCTTGAACCCCTCTCTGATACCACTTGTTAGATCGAAATCATCAGGTGTCATGCAAAAGCTGGTAAAGCATACATTCAATGACGATAAATCATACAATAAAGGAGAAATATACCAAAAGAGACACAAATATTTAACGTGATTCGGCCAATTGGCCTACGTCCACAAGTGCAGATGAGCAATCCACTATAGAAAAGAGAGTACAAAATATCGAGAGAACAACCTTACTAAGAGGCAAACACAAGTGAAAGGCTAACACTTGTCCCGAAATTCTCCCCCTAAACAAGAATCTCAAACCCTTGATGACTATATTGTGGATGTTACTAAATGAGAAGAACGGATCCTCAATTTATAAAAGTCCAAAACCTTTTACTCCGACTAGCCAAATATAAAAGAATTATATTTTTTTTTTCGTAAAAGGTAAAATCAATTATGATAAATATGTTGCCCTTCCTTTAAGAAATAGGAAAACCAAATCTAGTAAGAAAATCAGGACAACACCTAATAATTTTAAAGGTTTTGGCCAGAAGAAGAGAGTTGACTTTGATGAAATTTTCTCCCATGTTGTGAAGATGTCTTCTATTTGTGTGGTTCTAGGCTTAATCGCGAGTCTAGATTTAGAGGTTTAGCAGATGGATATGAAGACTGTTTTTCTTCGTGGTGATTTAGATGGAGAGATTTATATGGAGCAACATGAGGTTTTTGTAACTAAGTGAAAAGAAAACTATGTCTGCAAATTGAAAAAGAGCATGTATGGATTAAAACACACTCCAAGGCAATGGTATTTGAAGTTTGAATTTGTCATAGAAAAATAAGGTTACAATAAAACTTCTTCATATCACTGTGTATTTTTCAAGAAGATAAACTTTTTCAGCAAGCTTATTTACAACGGAGTAATAAATGAACATTCGTAATATAATATATTTATAACAGTTTTTGTTTTTTTGGTTATTTTGTTGATGATTTTGGATAATTTTTATTTATCTCCCGTCAAAATAACTACAAGACCGCACCTTTAAACGATAGCACTTACGTTCTCTAGCAAAGCAATTCAATAAACGTAACAAAACCCAAATCGTCCGGCTACTCCTCGGATAACCATTACACTCAGTTCCCAGACCGTCGCCGTCAATTGCCACCTGAAACTTCCAATTCCTCCCCCTCCACAACCGCCGGAAATATCAGCCAATCTCCCTTGGCCCCTATTTAGCGCTCATGGGTGAACAAACCCAAGTACAAGCAAAACCCGAAACCCAAACTCCACCTCAACCCCAACCCCAACCCAATTCCGACTCCACCCTTGTATCCAACTCTCCCGTTGATCTTCCCCCAAACCCCTCTAACCCTTCCAAAATCCCAATTCGACCCCAAAAAATACGAAAACTCTCTTCCCTCCCCTCCTCAAAAACCCCGCAAATCACCGCATCCTCCGCGACGCCAGCATCCACCAAGAGTCGCCGAAAGAGCACACCGAAATCATCATCTAGGGTTTTGCCCCAAATCATCAAACCCTTATCAGCTGACGGCGAAATCGACAATGCACTCTTACACCTCCGTTCAGCCGACCCGCTTCTCGGTTCCTTAATAGACACGCTTCCGGTCCCTCAATTTGAGTCATACCATTCTCCGTTTTTAGCCCTAAGCAAGAGCATTCTGTACCAGCAACTAGCTTATAAAGCAGGCACCTCAATTTACACACGCTTCGTGTCCCTTTGTGGCGGAGAAGATGCCGTTTGCCCTGACGTCGTCCTCTCCCTATCCGCTCAACAACTCAAGCAGATAGGTGTCTCGGGGCGAAAGGCTAGTTATTTATATGACTTAGCTCATAAGTATAAAAATGGGATTTTGTGTGATGATGCGCTTGTAAAGATGGATGATAAGTCATTGTTTACCATGCTTTCGATGGTGAAGGGTATTGGTTCTTGGTCAGTGCATATGTTCATGATCTTTTCACTGCATAGGCCGGATGTTTTGCCTGTTAGTGATTTGGGGGTCAGGAAAGGTGTGCAGTTGTTATACGGATTAGAGGAATTACCTAGGCCGTCGCAGATGGAGCAATTCTGCGAGAAATGGAGACCATATAGGTCAGCTGGGGCGTGGTATATGTGGCGGTTTGTGGAGGAGAAAGGGACTCCAACTACTGCTGCAGCTGCAATTGATGCTGGTAATGTGCAGCCGTTGCAGCAAATTCAGACAGGACAGGAGACACAGCAACATCAGTTGCAGCTTCTCGAGCCTATAAATGGCATTGGGAATCTTGGGTATTTGACTATTTTCCGCCTGAAGTAATAATAGTCGTTTCTATATTAAATTCTAGAGTGGTGCGTGGTCATTAATCCTGTCATTGTGATTGAACTTCGGTTGCCTTCCCGTTGCTTTTAAATTTGAATTCTTTTGCAGTCTATTAATTGCTCATGAGATAATCTGCAAATAGCTTGCACTGTGTTTTACATTCACTGCCCTGTTAGACAACAACCTGCATACATATTTTGAAGTAATTTCTTATCTCTTTTTTATGATAATATAGACAATATTTGGTTGTGGGTGGAAAATCCTGACTGTTGCTTCCTTATATATGCTCACAATCATGGCTTCATAAAAATCGGTTAATGTTTGTTATGCTTGCTTGCATGATGGCTTTACATGAATAGCTTTCGAAACTATCAAAATGTTCAAACTGGAATCAAACAGCTTGTTGTATGACTAAAGAAGCTTTTCTTAAACTTTCTCCAGTGGTTGTAGTTGGGAAATTTTGTATATATGTCAAACTATCTTAAATTCTTTAGGTTTTGGATGTTGAGTTTGTTTTGGAAGTCATATTGGAGCTGAGGTGTATCAAATATTGGAAAAAAGATTCATCTGGAGAAAAAGAAACAGATTGAAAGAAGAGTAGACTTTTTACCTTTTGTGATAGACATATGCCTTGAGGAATGAGGTTGATTCGTGCTTGGTTGTGAAAATTTATGTATTTATATGTAAAATCAGGTGACTGTAGAGGGGGAAAAGATGGAGTATATACATTAGTGAGCATGAAGTGGGCTGCAGTATGTAGCACCAAATGAAGGAAGGGGGAGATCAGATGTGGTTGTTTTAGTGGTTGAAACAAAGCAGGGTACCACGTTATACAAAATGTCATAGTGTTTGATTCATACAAGCCCTTAAATTTATGAAATGATGGATAGTGGTGCGTAAAATTGAAAATGTATGCTTACATTTTACTTGTATGTATTAAATATGATTGCTGATTGTCATAAACTTATTCATTAGTAAGGTTGTCAATTCATTAACTGCACCATATTGCTATTTAAAATGTTCATTGCTGTCTTTTCCATATTTGTTTTGGTCTAAACCAAAACAAACTTATTCTTTCTTCTAAGTTCTAGCTATCGAATTTCTATGTTTATTCTGGTCATTTGGAAAGTAGAGAACCCAATTTAGGTTTACCTAATCTAACATGCAACCTATTAGCGCACATTTGTTGTGCATGTCTGTAATAGGTTCACTAGCCAAAGAACGGAAGGGTGTGGTCTAGTGTTCATAAAGTGGACGGAGAACCATATGAACCTATGTTCAAATCCCAATGGAGGCAAAAAAATACTAGGTGATTTCTTCCCATCTGCCTAAGGCTTGGTGGATAGAGTTATTCGACATCTGTATTGGTGGGAGGTTGCAGGTACCCGATGGAATAATCGAGGTATGCACAAGTTGGTCCAAGCACCACCGTTATAAAAATATTAGTCCACTAGCCAAATTGAAGGGTCTCTTTGACCATGGACGTTCTTTATTATTAATCCCCCCCTCCCCCT